CCTGCTCCCCACTCGCCCTGCAGTCTCTGTGACCCCTGCTCCCCACTCGCCCTGCAGCCTCTATGCCCCCGCCTGCCCTGCTCCCCCGCTCCCCCGGCAGCCTCTGCCTGCTGGGGGCTTCAGACACTCGGCGGCGCCGGTCCCTGCAGCCCCGGCCTCAGCTTCCTTCCCACCGCCAAGCACGTTCCCTGGCCTATCTGTCCCCACCGGAAACAGCTCCCGTGGCGCCGGGTTCCGAGCTGCGCGGGGCAACGGGGCCACAGGAAGGGTCCCCCAGTGCCTGGGGGGTCCCCGCCCGCGAGGGAAGCCCGAGCCCCCCCCCATTCCCCGCCTGAGCATTGTAGCTGGGGCGTCTGGGCTGCGCTGCGGACCCGGTGGATCGTGCTGGGCGGACCCTGGCTTATGCCTCCCTATTTCCCCGGACATGTCCAGCTCTTTGGAAATTCCCCCCGGACGAGGATTTGAGCACCAAAAAGCCGGACATGTCTGGGGAAATCTGGACGTATGGTAACCCTACTTCCAGTACCTATGGGAAGGGGGGTCTCAGTGCTTCAGTCCCACAGAGAGTGCCTGCCGGGGATTGGGGCTTCAGCAGGAGCGGGGCAGGCAAACCCTGCAGGGCAGAAGCCCCAAGCCCCGGCTGGCACCTTTCACATGGGGCAGAAGCCCTGAGCCCCGGCTGGTGCCTCCCATGTGGGGTAGAAGTCCTGAGCCCCAACTAGAGCCTCACACGAGGGGCAGAAGCCCTGAGCCCCTGCAGGCATGCCCGGCTCTCAAACTTCTTAAGATTACTGTATATGGCTTGGAGAGTCAGTGTTCAAAATCATGCTTTAAATAGAAACCTATGACAAGCTGAACTAGAGAGACTACATAACTGTTTAAATGTCTGATTGTTGAATAGTAAAAGTTTACTCCTGATGTTTTGTATTTCTTCATTTCTTAAAGACAGTCATTATTCTGCAGAGTTAAACTGCAATATAATTTTGATTGTAACCATTTTATTTTAATTTTTCCCGTACCGTTATGCCATGACTTCATATACACCAAGTATGCATGAGTAGCTTGGTTACCATGGTTACTGCATTGACATACTTGAAGTGGTTCTCACAGTCCAAGAGGCCTCATTCCTGGGATTTTAATCAGTGCACCAAAGGCTTTTCTATATTCAAGTGGGCACAGAAAGGAGGCTGATTGCAATATTAGCACGGGCACATCTTGAGCCTGAAGACCTGAGGGGAAAATGTGAGTCTTGACATACTTAATTACTCTCAAACTCTGGGGATTTACATTAGCAAAAAGTAGTTCATATAACAAAAGAGTTTATTTTAATATCTGACTATACCTGAAGGTTCCTGTTAGATGTAGCTATGAATCAAAATGTTTGTCTACTTTGCTGAATTGGCTCCGAGGAGGCTGCTGTATAAATGAAGCAACAATAATTTGTTGTGCATGTGTTATGCGGTATTTTCTTAACATTTCTTAACTGAGAAGTATGTTTTCAAAACAAAAATTAAATTGCCTTATTTTTCTAAACTGGAACTCCATTTACTGAGCTCCATTTGAAAGCTAAAAGCAGGTGCTTACATGCTCAAAGGCAAGAGAATTACAAGGAGGAGGGACTCTTTTTAATACAGTACTTTGTTCTATTGTGCTAACAGCAACACACTTACCTAGCTCAGAGCTCCAGTGTGGTGTGGGAGGAAGGGTGGGAATGCATAGGGAGCCTTCCCGCATTTGCTTGACCTGTACAAGCGCCTGTCACAACTTCAGTTTTGGGGAGCAAAGGGGCTGCTTCCTCTATATGGAGAGGCACAGAATCCCAGCGGCTGCCCTTAAGAACTTCGCTCTCCATAGCTGACCACTGGCTCTTTCTTCTGGAAAACAGTATAAATTAAAGTGAAATTAAGGCTGGTAAAAAGTTGTCAATAACTTATAAATAGAGCCGGTCAAAAATTGTCAGTCAAAATATTTGTTTGCACAGACACTGTCTTTTTTTATTTTTTCAGTAAATGTCCATTTTTTGTCAAAAAATCGAGCTTTCAGTAAATGAACAACCAGAAATAAATAAAATAATAATAATAATCAGTTGACCCAGTCTCCCATGGTACCAGTACCTTAGGTATTATATTACTTAGCCACCTAGAAAATTTTTATACAGAAACTAATTTAATAGAAATGATGGCTTCTGGTCAACTAGGAAACACAAAATTATAATTAATATCTTAATCTTTGCAGACAACTTTCCTAAAAAAGAAATGTCCATATATGACATGGTGGGGAAATTTTAATACATGAATTACCCCAGAGGAATGGGCTTTGATCTGGAAAAGAGGACTCGGTGGTATGATAAAAGAAAATGTCTTTAAGATAATATTTCAATGGTTTTTCACAGCAGTCAGGTTAAAAATATATAGAGTATATAGATTGAATGGGGATAAATGTTGGCCCAAATTGTGAGGAAAGAGAAGATTTAATGCATATATGGTAGACAGGTCCAGTTGTCAAAGAGGACTGGGATGTGACTCATAACTAAATATTGCAAATTGTTAGCTAGCTATTATCAATTGATCCTTTGTTAATCCTCCTGGGGTTTCCTAGGGTGTGTCTACACAGCAAAGAAAAACCCGCAGCTGGACAATGCCAGCCGACTTGGGCTCATGGGGCTCAGGCTGGGGGGCTGTTTCATTGCTGTGTAGTTTATAGATGAATTCTGTTCAGTCAGTTTTCAGTCTAAGACTTCTGTGGTAGGGGTCCATGAACCACAGGTTGAATTTCTAAAGGGGTATGACCTCCATCTAAAATTTTTTTGGGGGAAGAAGTGATGCAGGAGTGGGGCCTCAGGATAAGGAATGGTGCGAAGGCGGGGGCTCAAGGGAATGGGTGGCGTGAGGGTGGGGCCTTGGAGAGAAGGGGAGGTGCAGGGGCAGGGCCCCAGGGGGGAGGGGCAGCAAAAAGGGTGGGGCCACAGTTCGTGCACCATTGGCCTCCCCATTTTTAGGGACCTTCAGCCGTTCCTGGATCATGGTCTATAAATGCCTAAACAGGGAGAAGATTTCTGATTCTGGGAGGCTCTTTAATCCAGCGGGCAAAGGCATAACAAGATCTAAGGCTGGAAGTTGAAGCTATATAAATTCACACTGAAAATATGGCACAAATGTTAACCACTGAAACAGCTTATCAAGGAATGGGGTGGATCCTCTGTCATTTGCGGTCTTTAAATCAAGAGCTGGTTGAAACTTGGAAATTCCTTTCCATGAGAAAGTCCAACACTTTAGAAAACTAGAAATTTCTACATTTGCCACAGGATGGAAATTATGAATTTTGTTGTTTTAGACAAATCAAACAGTTTTGGTTTGATTTTTTTCTAAATGAAATGGAGCAGCTGGCTGTCCTGACTCCTGGGAGACTCCCCAGGCTGCGTGATCCAGAGCTCCCCATGCTTTCCAGGCTGCTGGGCTCCCTGCCATGGAGCAGGGGGGCGTAGAAGACCTGAGAGCCCCAGCTTGAACTTGTGCTGCTGACAGTAGAAGCCTGGCTCCAGAGCAGCTCACCATGGAAGCTGGCAGGAAACTAGGCAGGTGTCTAATGGAAACCTGCCTGTGTTTCAGTGAAAGTTCATTGAAACCAAAATGTTTCTACAAAATATTTCAGTTTCATTGAATTGGCATTTTCTGATGAAAAACTGGTTCATTGGAAAATTCCCAACCAGCACTATTTAAATAAAGAGTGGCTGTCTCTCTAAAATGTATGTTCCATGTTAACTACAAGTTCCTGAGTTGATGCAGGAATCACTAGGTGAAATTCTTTGGCCTGAGTTAGGCATGAGGTTAAAACAGCTGGTCATAACGGTCCCTCTTCTGGCCTTAAAGTCTATGAATCTATGTTCATGCTGTGACAGATTTAGCAATTTCCAGCAATATACTTGAAAGACCTTATTGCATTAAGTGTATGTATTATTGTGGGCTAGGATCATATGTAACCTCTCTAGATGGTGACAGACAGGGCCGGCTCCAGGGTTTTTGCTGCCCCAAGCGGCGACCAAAAAAAAAAAAAAAAAGCCGCGATCGCAATCGCGATCTGCGGTGGCAATTCGGCGGGAGGTCCTTCGCGCCGAGCGGGAGTGAGGGACCGTCCGCCGAATTGCCACCGAATAGTTGGACCTGCCGCCCCTCTCCAGAGTGGCCGCCCCAAGCACCTGCTTGGCAAGCTGGTGCCTGGAGCTGGCCCTGGTGACAGATGTAAGACCTGGGAGTTAAAAAGACTATAGTGAAAATGTGCCAGAGAAGTATGGACTTTAGGGACAATAAGTGTTGTTGTGGAAATGACCACCCAGGCAGTTATTTGATCAGAGACTCAAGCCTGAGGCCCATTTATTGAACACACACCAACACGTTGGGGGGTGGCAGATTGGATACTGCGCCCGCCGATACAAAGCAACACCCGACTATATAAAGCAAAAAACCGCAAATACATCATACATTTAAGTAATAATTACCCTTATATGGAATTAACACTTGACAGGGGTTAGGGTCTTCTTGGGTCTTTTTGGTACTTTCCAATGTTGCTGTAAACAACCCTTTTATGGATGTAATATGGGTTAGGGTTTCTACTGGTACTTTCCAGTGTTTAGCAACCATACCTTTTATGGGGTACCATTACATCATGCTTGTCATGGGGCACAATGATCTCAAGGGGTAGTTACACAACTGGTATAAGGGAGGGCATGGGTTACAGTTGCACATGTTTTTTTTTTTGCCTATAGATTACCGTTACAAAGCTTCATGCCAGCATATTGCAAATAGTTCCTGCTTTTGGGGGGGTTTTTCACTACGCCCCTCTCTCCCCCAAACTAAGATAGTCATGGAACACTATCTTAGGCCTGGTCTACACTACGGGTTTAGGTCGACTTTAGCAGCGTTAAATCGAATTAAGCCTGGACACGTCCACACGACGAAGCCCTTTCTTTCGACTTAAAGGGTCCTTTAAACCGATTTCTTTACACCACCTTCGACGAGGGGATTAGCGATAAAATCGGCCTTTGCGGGTCGGAATTGGGGTAGTGTGGACGGAATTCAACGTTATTGGCCTCTGGGAGCTATCCCACAGTGCTTCATTGTGACCGCTCTGGACAGCACTCTCAACTCAGATGCACTGACCAGGTAGACAGGAAAAGACCCGCGAACGTTTGAATTTCATTTCCTGTTTGCTCAGCGTGGAGAGCACAGGTGACCACGCAGAGCTCATCAGCACAGGTAACCGTGATGGAGTCCCAGGATCGCAAAAGAGCTCCAGCATGGACCTAACGGGAGGTACGAGATCTGCTCGCCATATGGGGAGATGAATCAGTGCTAGCTGAACTCCGTAGCAGTAAAAGAAATGGAAAAGTATTAGAAAAGGTCTCCAAGGCCATGAAGGACCGAGGCCATAACAGGGACACACAGCAGTGCCGCGTGAAAATTAAGGAGCTACGGCAAGCTTACCACAAAGCCAGAGAAGCAAAC